ACATTAACCTAAAAGTGGTATGACACTCTAATATATGTCCTGAGTTCAACAGAACTTACACGTATGTGTGCATAAGACTGCAGCCTCAGTTTTGAAAAGTTGCACAAGAAGTATACCACGAATTCAAGCGATGAATCTACTTTGAACCAAGACCTTCTGGCAGACTAATAATTGCAGAAAGCAATCAGAACTTAAATATAACAAACACTTTATATATGGCTTGAAATAGAATTTCTAATAAAACTAGTATGAGACCATTTGGTCTGTAGATGACTCATTTCCACAGATATGCTATGCAGACACTGGCCAGCTGTTCCCCAGTTCTTTTCCTTCTTTAAGAGGGAAACATGAGAAATCCTATTTTTCTGTTTGTGGAAGGTATGTTTGTGGGCAAACGGGATTTATTTTTGAATGGCTCAGTCATGTATTCCAAATGGGTAGCAACGCATAAACTTCTATTTTATTTATTAGCTTTGATTTATGTGTGTGTGTTTAAACTGTACAGTGGAACCTCAGCTTGCGAACGTGATCAGTGTGGGAGGCACATTCGCAACCCGCAGCACCGCGTCTGCACACACGCGAGTCATGATTTGGCGCTTCTGCGCATGTGCAAAGCATGATTTGGCAATTCTGCACATGCACCAAAACCCGGAAGTAACCCGTTCCGGTACTTCCGGGTTCGGCACGGTGCGCAACCCGCAAACACATAACCTGAAGCGTCTGTAACCCGAGGTACCACTATATTTTTGTTCTTGGATTGTTGTGGTTTTATGTTGCACAGTCCTTGGGAAATTTATATTGAACGATTCTATAAAAGGCTCTCGTTAAGAAATAAAATAACACAAACAGAAAAAAGGAAAAAGGATATTAATGCCATGTAAACAAAGAATCTTGGGGTAACTTAAAAACAAGGACAGTTCTGGTGCAATGCTGCCAGTGATATTTACTTTTTTTACTAGGGCAATTAAGGAGTTCAGACATTTCTAATATTAGTATTGATGGCAAAAGGAAGCAATCTTATGCTATGCACTGTTCTACTTACATACATAGGCAAACATTAGCTGAGCATTCAATGTATCTCCATATTTTTATATAGAAAAGCACCCAAAATGCAGCTCCCTGTGAAGGGCAATTAATAAGTAGCAGACAATTGTTTCACAGCCAATACTGCACACCAGTGAAAACTGATACGCATTTTAAAAGGTTACTATGCAAGTAAATTCCAGAACAATTCCACCCATAATAGATTTTACAAGTAAGGGCAACTGGCTGCGTGTGCCAACAAAAAGGGTGAGATTTTCACAAGCAAAGCAAGTTTCATGGAGACAAATTCCATCAACGTACATACAGAAAATGATACCACATAAACAAAAATGCTAATAAACTTTGTTGGTTTGTTCAGGAGCAAGCCAATCATAATATCCACCAGGTTTCCTTGAGAAATAAGGCCTGTTAGGTTTCTTAAAGAGATCTTCAGGTGGCCTTAAAGGGACAAATTCTTTCATCATATAAAGGAAACATTCCTGCATTCCAGAACTGGCACCCCTACTGTAGCATGCCATTGCCAGCGTAATGGCCAAAGCATGGAACTCAGATCAGGAGAAACAGGTTCAAATCCTCACTCAGTCACACTGCTCACTGTACAACCTTGGGCCTGTCACAAATTCCTCAGCCTATCCTACGTCAGAGGGTTGCTGTGTGAATGAAATGGAGGAAACTGTATGTGTACTGCTCTGACCTCCTTGGCGAAAGTTGAGGACAACAAGAGAGACCGCAGGCACACAACTTCCTTCCCTTTCCAAAGTCTAAACTTGTAGATGCAGATGCATAGAGTCTCATTACTTGCTACTGAGTACCACAATTGCCCCAATGCTGGTGACAACGTTATAAAATCCAGTCTTGTATCTGGACAACTCCAACTGAGTGCAGGTGCACTTTTCAATGTATCCCGGATTTCACAATCCAAGAGCCTCCCAAAGCAAACATTCCTCTATCTCTGCCCAGCCACTGCCTTTATAATAGAGCATAAATCTGAAATTAAAATAAGGAGTATGGATACCATTCTTATTACAGGATGATCACCTTTCTCAAAGGTATCATTGTCCATGTCACACTGACACTTTAAGGTCACAAATACATAGATCACTACCCCAAGACCTCCAGCCATGCCTACAGCATTTGTTATACACTTTATAGCTTTAAAACCCAGGACTTCTTAATCCTAGGGCCCAATTTAGGCTCCTCCCCCACATAAACCACAAAGACTCCCTAATCTACCATGCTCCTACCAAGAGTCCTACAATTGAAATGACAAAATCCACAGCTGGGCAATACCTTTATTGGGACTAACCAAAAGTATTGGTCTTAAAAAAAAGGATTTGCCCAACTTGAGCTTTAACACAGCTATCTTTGCTTTTAATGACTAAGACAGTCTCCATCTCTTTGCAGACTTGCTTCATACTTTGTCTCCTGCACCAACACCCTCACATTCAATGTGGTCAGAAGCCTGTCCCACCCGCATTCAAAGTTATTCCTCCTGGATTCCCTTTCCTGTTCTTATTGTCTTTACCTAGCTGTGCCACCTACAGTATATCAGTTGTCCTACCTTCCACCATCATAAACACAAAAACACACTGACCTTCTTCCAGTCCCAGAGTACCCACATCCTTCCTATCACACAACACATTTAACTGTAACACCTCACTCATAAACGGTTTCCCCCATCACTTGCAACTGATGAACCCCTAAGGAAGAATGATAGGAAATCCAATCCCAAAACAAGCTTATCAGATAAGTGGAAAGAGATGGAGAAGGACATGCATTGCTTTAGGGCAAACTCAAGAACCTGCCATAAGCTAAAAGGGCTGTGGTGCGGAGCACACAAATGGGTACATTCATATCTATGCCTTCAAGAGAGCAATAATTTTCTGCAGCTGCAGAACTTTCCCCTTTTGTATTGTTTGCACTGCCAACTCAGTATGCCCCAAGTGCAGTTAAAAAGCAACTTTACATTTTAATATAACAGCATTTCCTATACTAGGTGTGTAGGCATCCTTCAGCCCTGCAGATGTTGAACTGTAACTCCCATCATACCCAGGAAACATGGACAATGGCCAAGGATGATGGGGAGCTGTAGTTCAGCAACCTTTGGCAGGACAAAAGTTTCCTACATCTGCCCTGTATGGGTGGTAGTGTAATTATATTAATAATAATAATAATCTCTACCCGCCCATCTGGCTGGGTTTCCCCAGCCACTCTGGGCGGCTTTCAACAGAACATTAAAAACAGAATAAAACTTCAAACATTAAAAACTTCCCTAAACAGGGCTGCCTTCAGATGTCTTCTAAAAATCAGATAGTTGTTTATTTATTTGACATCTGATGGGAGGGCGCTCCACAGGGCGGGTGCCACTACTGAGAAGGCCCTGTGCCTGGTTCCCTGTAACCTCACTGCAGTGAGGGAACCTCCAGAAGGCCCTGGAGCTGGACCTCAGTGTCCGGGCTGAACGATGGGGGTAGAGATGCTCCTTCAGGTATACTGGGCCAAGGCCATTGATGTACATTACAGAAGCAAAATGCTTTACTATGTTACATTGGGCAGGTGACAATAAATTCAGGCTGCAATCCAAAACACATTGATCAGGAATGTACTGGGCACAACTATTATTGTTATATTGTGATTTATTTCATTTTTATCCCACCCTTCCTTTAAGAAGCTCAGGATATATGATTTCTCTCCCTTTTTACTTTGACAACATTCCTAGTATCAGGTAGGTTAAGCTAAGAGATAGCAACAGGAACAGGATTACTCAGTGAGCATCCTGACTGAATGAGGATTTGGACCTCAGTCGCAGTTTGACACTCTAATCCAGACTTTCTCAACCTTGGGTCCTCAGGTGTTGTTGGACTACAACTCCTATCATTCCTAGCTAGCAGGCCCAGTGGTCAGGAATGATGGGAGTTATAGTCCAACAACATCTGGAGACCCATGGTTGAGAAAGGCTGCTCTAACCACTACATCACATGGGTTCTTACAATGGAACTTACTTTTGCTTAAGGACATACAGGATTGCCCTCTCACAAAACGATCTCTTGCTTCAGCAGCAAAGTACTCCGCTTGATACTATCTGTACCTCCAACTCCTCCACATGGTAGAAAGAGTGCTTTGCTTCAGAATTTATCAAGACAGCAAGCTATTGCAGTTTAGAAGCGTGCATGTGTGTATACCATCTAGTACGCTCCGTAGTACAAAAACCATCTTAGACCAACACAATCAAGACCAACTTTGCTCATTTTCGAAAGGAACTCTCTCACCCCCACCGATGGGTGATGCAGTCCTTATTAAAAGCAGAACCCAACTAAACTTTCAAACATTTCCTTATTTCCTCTTCCCTCTTAATCCTTCGATTCGTAACCCACTCTGGGAACCCCCTAACTCTCCTTTTTTCTTTTGGCCGAAGGGATGAATAAAAACCTCTTCGATCAGTAGAAGTTACACCAGTGGCTCGTAGTGAAGGGGGAAACAACTTCCCCTACGAAAAGATGGGTCTGCCTAGGAAGGGCGTTGACGAAGAAGGTAGAGGGGACGAGACACACACCCAAGGGAGGAGGAGGAGGAGGAGGTAGCCATCCCAGCCCGCTTCCTGCACCAGGTGCTGAGGACCCTGCGGCCCTCTATGAAGTTGAACTACAACTCCCATCAGCCCCAGCAAGCGCAGCCGAGGCTAAGGGATGCTGGGAGTTGTAGACCGGCAGCACCTGGAGGGCCGCGGATCCCCCACCCACCTTTGCCCAACACCTTCCTGTTCAGAAAGCCCGAAGGCCCCGCCCGCGCCACGACCCTCCTATCGCTCCTCGGTCTCTCCCGTGTCAGCCTCTTCCCACAGAGCGAAGGCAAAAAAACTGCCCCATCCCATAATAACCGCTCCTGCCCATGCCCTCCAGCGGACACCCGGAAAAGGGCAACGCCTCGCCCTCCCGCCGCCACGGAGCGAGGCTTACCCGCCCACGCCGCCTTCTCCGCGCCTCCCTCCGAACTCCTCAGCACCGAAGCGGCCTGTCCCGGCCGGCCGCCATTCCACAGCTTTTCCTCTCCCCCCGCCCCGCCCCAGCCTGCGCTGACTGAAGGCGGCCCCGCCTGCTCCGCCGCCGGTCCGCGCCCCCATTGGCCGGCCCGTGTCTTGCCGCCCCAGCGCCATTGGCCGGGCCGTGCTGTCAGTCACTTGATAACCTTCCGCGATTTGCGTACCCACCCAGATTTCTTAAATGACCACACCCAAACCGAGTCTCCTCTTTGATTTTTTTTTAATAAGGGAACAACGCGGGGCGTACCATAATGCCGAGGTGGGTAGGGGGAGCGTTAAAGTGGTAGGTCGGGGGGTGAAGCACGTTTAGGAGCGAATGCCAATGGATTGAGAAGGGAAGGTTACAGCTTGTTATCGGTTGCTGTTTTGCTTTTAAATAGAAGTTATTTCTTTGTTGATAAATTCGCGTCAGAGTTTTCAGACCTCCTCGTGGTTTCGCCCGGCCTCTCGTTCGTTCGCCCGGGCGGGGCCGACCAGTGCTCTGCTCTTCGGGCTTAAAAGGAGGGCGCCCCCTGGCGCGTTAGGGGTATTACTGCAAGAAGGGGAAAGGGGCGGGCTTGCTTTTTGAGACTCCGGAGACGGAAGGGAGCGGCGAGAGCCGGGGTGGCGCTCGCTCGGGACTTCTCTTTCAGTGGTACCTGCGGTCAATCCAGTCCTTCTGGGGGAGGATCCTACCTGTTTGTGACCCACGTACTTTCAGACGTCTCTGCCGGCGGCCTCTCCATTCATAAAGCACAAAATAGGGTGGCCAGGTCCAAAAAGGCGCAAGGCTCCTGGAACTTTAAAAGTTACGTAGAATTTCAAAGAGCTGCTTGAGGTGCAGGAGCCGAATCCTGGTTTGCATCTGGCTACTCTAAACACTAACCTTATTTTTTTCCTTTTGCTATTTCTCTCTCCACCCTCCTCTCCCGACCCAATTGTGGTCTCTCTCTCTCTGATGGCTCCTTGATACCCTGTCTGCAGATGTTGGTGATTGATTTCGTTTCCAAGCATAAAAATCAGTCCGCTGCCTCTGTCAGTACTCCATCGTCTAGCGTGGCAGAGCCTGCACTTCGGAACTCCCAGCCTTTGGAGATCAAGCAGGAGGTGCCTTCCCTATACCGTGGTACCTCGGGTTAAGTACTTTATTCGTTCCGGAGGTCCGTTCTTAACCTGAAATTGTTCTTAACCTGAAGCACCACTTTAGCTAATGGGGTCTGCCGCTCTGCCGAAGCACGATTTCTGTTCTCATCCTGAAGCAAAGTTCTTAACCTGAGGTACTATTTCTGGGTTAGCGGAGACTGTAACCTGAAGCGTATGTAACCCGAGGTACCACTGTACTCTCTTCGGAGCCTGTTAAAGACATCCCTGTTTGGGCAAGCCTACCCAGATGCTTAGAAAGCCGAGTTAATTTCAATCTTTTCCCCTTTTTTTAGTATTTTGTATCTTTTAAAATAGGTAGGGCAGTGCATTTTTCTTGATTTTTACTGTTTTATCTTTTTGTAAACCTCTTTGAGGTTTCTACAATCAAGCGGTGTTTAACTTTTGCTAAATATATAGATCAATATAGATAAATAATAAAATCTATACAGAATTAAAACACACAAGAAACAATTCCATCAAAACATTAAAACACACATATTTAAAATACTAGTGGCTACTGCCCAGGCATCAACTCCACGTACCCCATTCCTCTTTCCCCACACTTGACCAGCCCCTCCTCCTTCCCTTTACACCTCACCTATCCCCCAAAGCTCAACCCAAGCCCCTCCTGTCCGAAGTCCCTCAACCCTTTAAAGGAGGGGTGAGACACTTCACACAACTTGCTAAAACTGCCTGAAGGGCCTCTCTGCCCCCACCCTGGCCACCATGATAAGCCTCTGTTGGTGGCCGTGTGAACTGCAGAGCATTGCAACACTGTGTTTTAATGTATACACTGTATAGGAAGATACAATAAAACAAGCCAATTAAAAAGCATAACTGAATACAGTCATACCTCGGGTTGAATATGCTTCGAGTTGGGCACGTTCGAGTTGTGCGCTGCGCCAATTCGGAAGTAACGTAGGTTTCTCCACTTGCACATGCGCAGACGCTCAAAATGACTTCACACACATGCGCAGAAGCGAAGAAAAGCGACGCACGTGTGCGCAGACGTGCCATCGCTAGTTACGTTTGCTTCTAGATGTGAATGGGGCTCCGGAACGGATCCCGTTCGTATCTAGAGGTACCACTGTACTTAAAAAACAATTACCATACTTTCCCATGTATGAGACTATTTTTTTTTTACTTTAAAATTATGTTCAAAATCTGGCCTCGTCTTATACACGAATAGTGCAGAGTGGGGAGTCCCCAAATCGGAGTCCCCAAAATTTTTCCGTCTTATAGATGGAAAAATACGGTAAAAGAGATGGATGAAAATGTTCCATGTTCACCAGGCCTCTTTATCCTGCTTAAATAAATTTGAGACCCATCCTTTCTCATTTACATTTCTTTCTTAATGTTCTACTCAACTTTTTTATTTTCTATTGGTTGGATGATTATTGCATTGTTTTAACCATGTTTGTGTGTGCACACTACATTTAAGCCAGAGTGGGAAAGCCTTTTCTGCCAGGGGACCACATTCTCTTCTGTGCAATTTTCTGGGGGGCACATGTCAGTGGTGGCCAGGGCCAGAAGCAAAGCAGGTGCAGCAATGAATGCGAGTTTTGCCTTTGTCTAGAAGGCTAGCTTCTGTACACACTCACACCCCACTCTCCGTTCTCCATCCCAGCAAGCAAGAGGCATTATCAAAATTCAAGGACACATTGCAGCCAGCCCAAAACACTCAAGGAAGATGCAAAGCAGGGCCTGAGAGGAGGTGCAGACTTGGAAGAGCCTTGAGGTCCAGTTAAAGAGACTTGGAGGATTACATTTGGTCTCCCCAAGCCTGAGATTCCCCTTGGATTCTTCCAAATGTTATTAACTGGGGAAATGGCACATATGCCTCACCAGTGCCTCATGATACAGGTGACATCATTATTGTTGCACACCACCCCAATCTCTGAGCGGTGTGAGATTCCAGGCACTTACCCAGGATTCGTGTTTCCTTCTGGAATGAGGCACAGTGGAGACTATGGTGTCTTTGTGATATATGGCTTATTTACTACGAAGGGGTTCACAGCACCCCAAAAGGGTCTTTCTTCCCCCATAGCTGCATCCTTTTATTCAAATGGACTCTCCAATTTGCTGCTTTTCTTCTAACTCACATCACTCTGATGTCAATTCTGGCTTTGTCCTTCTAGCCATCCACAAGTTTGCTGTCTCACACAGAGCCCTTTCCCTTTGTTTCCTTAATGGCCCATCGCCCAGGCGATCACATCACCAGGAATCTAGCCTGACTTACAATTTCACACTTTCTGGATCCAGGGGTTAGAAGGGTCTTGACATGCAGCCTCCCTCCCCCTCCCCTGCACAAACTCATACCGTTATTATATCACTTGCTTTGATATGTCTCATCTGTATGTGTTAAAACTTGCAAGTATGGCTAAAACCCATAAAGTTGTACAGCTGGCCACCATTTTGTGTGCGTCCAATTGGCATGTGATCGCCAGCATGCAGGTCCTTTTGGAACCGGAAGTGGGCATAATGTGGGTGGGGCATAAGAGGGTGGGGTGTGCTTATGCAAGTTCTTCCATTGTGGGGAGGGGGCAGGAAGGGAACCCCAACAAGAAATGGTCCTCGCCTGTATCTGTCAAACATAATTAGATGGGTTAGTTGGGTCTGAATTTTCAAAGGGTTTTGAATTTCTTACAGTAAACAACGAAGTGGCAGTAGAGGTCAGGAGGGGAAAAGGAGTGCTAGTTCTGCAAGCCATAGAGGTGACAATGCCTAGGAATAAAGTGTGTGTGTGTGTGTGTGTGCGCACACACACACACACACCTGAATATTTTCAAACAAACCTTCAGCTTCATGAAGACCAGAAGCTTGCTGACTTTTCTAAAAAAACAGAGCATCTTGGAAACGCACGAGCAGGTGTCACACGCAACCCCACATTCACAAAAGCATGGGGAACAGACAGCCCTCACGTAATCAGGGCCGCCCTCTCCCCCAGCACACAGTTGTTTTCCTCAGCAAATAAGTTTGCTCAAGCCTGCAGCTGAGAGAAGGAGTCTTTATGCTGCATTTAGTATGTCAGCCTCACCAAGAATCTGATCTGAGATTAGGAAACGTGGGTCGCTAAAGAGCTGGAACACGGGTGTTTTCAAGAGACAAACTGCAGGTGTAGATGCTTGAATCAACTTTGGGAAAGATTAAAAAGCCACATGTAATACTCTGCACCTTAGCAATCTCGAAGGGTTCCAATCACCTGCTACTCACACAATTGACCCCCTCTCTACAAATATGCACACTTTGATGACATCATTTCTATTTTTGTACATTCTGATTTGGGCACCAATTGCCGCTAATTTCAGCATAAAAGACTTAGATCCCTAAATGATTTTCAGCAAGTCTTCCCTTTCCAAAGTTGCCTCCCCACTCCCAGGGGTGCCACCAGGGCCACGACTTGGGGGCAAGAGCCCAGGAACCCAGGCTGCAGAATGGATGGGAGGGCCCCAAACACAGCAGCTTCATCACTATACTTTGAAGCCCGTGGAGTAATACACATTGCAATTGAAAGATGCAGGACCACTAAGGGTCACTAACATGTGCCCACAGAGGCTCTCCCTAGAGCCCAAGGGATCCCCTCCCCTGTCACATCCACACACACACACACCACAAATGGTAGCCTTGAAAGAAATATTCTACGGTAGCTAAAGGTGAGGGAAGAAATTCAACTGGTCCTCATTTAAAGGTGAAGCTGGCTAATTTGCGCTTTCCAAAACAATGCGAGAACCGAAACAAAGTGATTTTCAAAACTTAAGCATCTCTGAATTTTGCAAAGCAGTTCTTCAGGCAAACGACCTTAGTGAAAATGAAAGTATGCATAAAAATGCAAACAACGTTGAAAATAGCACACACAAATGCTTTATATTAGGGGCAATTGCTTGCAAAAATGTGTGCCG